TATTCCATTCAGAGCAGAGCCTATTTAATAACTAAGGTTTTATCCCAGAATGGTTTTGTTGAGGATTCCTGTGTGTTTGAGCTTCACCAGGGCCCAGCTAGCAAAAAGAGGAGACACTGGAACCTCTAAAGAGCTTTCCAGCAAACATTTCTCTTGGATAATCGGATAAGATTACTTTTTGGGGGTGGGCATCACATAGAAATTAAAAATAAAACCAATCTTCTTTTGATAAATCTTTTCTAAAAGAACATTTAGAAGCTCCAGAAGTTATTTTGGACATTATAAAATCTGTTCATTCCCGTGAGTCCCATCTGTCTGAAAGTTCAGAGGTCATCTGAATGGGGCAGCATCATTTACCAGCTCAAGACACTGTTCGTTAGTTCCAAGCACTGCTCATTAATGTAGCACATTATTCCAGGACTCAGCATGTCGTTCATTAATTAAATGTATCAAGCACTTTCTGTGTCATAGGTATTCTGCTAGGGACAGGGATAAGACAGAGACAAAATCAACACCCCCCCTCCATTTTCATGCTAGTCTGTGCGTGTGTTTCTATGTATGGTGTGTGCATGTGTATGGAGGTACATGTACGTGTGTGGAGGTACATGTATGTATATAGAGATGTTATAAGTGTGGAGATGCATGTGTATGTGTAGAGATGTTATGTGTGTGTTGAAGTGCATGTATGTGTGGAGGTGTGTGATTGTGTGTGAGATGCGTGTATATGCGTTAAGATGCATGCATGTAGAAGTACATGTATGGGTGTGGAAGTGCACATATGTATGCTGAGGTACACGTATATGTGTGGAGGTGCATGTATGTGTGTGGAGGTGTACGTATGTGTGTGGAGATGGACGTATGTATGGGGAGGCTTACATATGTGTATGCAGATGCATGTATGTGTACACAGTGTGGATATGTGTAGAGACCAGAGGACAGCTCTGGTATTATTCTGCAGATGCCATCCTTCTTTAATTCTTTCCCTTTCTCTCTCTCTCTCTCTCTCTCTCTCTCTCTCTCTCTCTTTTGAGAAAGTGTTTCTCACTGGCCTGGAACTCACTGAGTAGGCTGGCCAGCTGCTAAGTCCCAAGAGCCTGTCCTCGCCTGCCTCCCTAGCGCCCTGGCATTCCAAGGAGAGCTGGCTTACTTGGCCCCTTTAGTCTGGGCTCTAGAGATTGAACTCATGTCTGGTGCTTGTGGTAAGCACTTTGTTCATTGTGCTGTCTCCCCAGACCTGGTGGTACTTTCTATGGGAAGAGAGATGCGGGTGTCACAGGAGTCATTTGGGGGAGAGGAAACAGTCCTGGCTGGAAGATGGGGTGGCTCTCTGCAATGATTACAGAGTCTCATGGGAGACAAAAAACTCTAAGCAGAGACACAAGCAGCTGAGGGAAGAGCTGGAATTCACAGGCAACTTGCAGTAAGTTCTTCTGAGACAGGAACCAGGTGGCCCTCTCCTGAGACAGGGAACTGGATAGCCCTCTCCTGCTCTGTCCCCCTGAATGTCCAGTGGAGTCAGTGGCTTGCAGAACTGCTTCTGTTGACATTGCAAGTGTGTGCACACTGTGGAGCCAAGGGCTCTGAGGACTGAGGTATGTATGACACATTTATGGAGCTTCTGTTTGTTTTTGTAATGAAATCACACCAATCTGGTCTTCTTTTGAAAAGAGTAAGTAGTGCCAGGCTATGATAGAAATTATCCTGACTTGTGGGCACAGGTTCAAAGTGTGTGTTCCTCACTTGAAGTGGCTTACACAGGCCATGCCATCCCCATTTTATAGATTTGGCAACTGAGGCATGGAAGAGAAGGTACTTGACAAAGTCATAAAACATAGGGATGCATACTGTCTAGCAGAGATGTATGTTTTTGATTTCTAGGATAAACTGAGTTTAGGGAGATAGGAATACCATCCTCCCCCACTGTCTGGGGAACCAATTCCCAGATGTTTCTTCTTTTCACTGCAGCATGGCTTGGGGACTTTTCTGGCCCATTGCCATTTTAACAGAAGCTTCATTGTGTGTGTGTGTGTGTGTGTGTGTGTGTGTGTGTGTGTGTGTGTACGTACATATGGGTATAGCTGTGCCATTGCTTAGGAACTGTTTGTCTTATTTTGATAGGGCTTCTCACTGGGCTGGAGATGGCCCTTTAGGCTAGACTGGCGACCCAGAAAGTCCCAGGACTTCCTGCCTCTGCCTTCTGAGTATGGAAATTACAAGTATATTCGCTCAGCCTACAGAATGGATTTTTTTTTCCAACTACACATCTGATAGAGGGTTAATATCCAAAATACATAAAGAACTCAAGAAAGTAGACATCAAGAAAACAAATAACCCAATTAAATGATGGGGTGCAGGTCTAAACAGAATTCTCAAAAGAGGAACTCAAGTGGCTAAGAAACACTTAAAGAAATATTCAATATCCTTAGCCATCAGAGAAATGCAAATCAAAACTACTTCAAGATTTGATCTTATACCTGTCAGAATGGGTAAGAACAATAAAACAAGTGAGGGCCCGTGCTGGAGAGGATATGGAGTAAGGGGAATACTCATCCATTGCTGGTGGGAGTGCCAGCTTGTTCTGTTCTCTTTGAAGCCTGTTCTTTTCTAATGAGAGACAGAAAGGGAGTTGATCCAGAGGGGAGGGATGGTATGGAGAAACTGGGAGGAATAGGAGGAGGAGAAGCTATGGTCAAGAGATCACGATAGATTATGTGAGAAAAAAAAAGTTAAATAAAAGGTGGGGGAGACAAAAACTAGTCTGTGCTACTGTAGACAGAGACTGTGCTTTCATTTCCTGGCCCTCAGACCCAAATAATTGCACGGAAACTTTATTAATTACAACACTATTTGCCAATGACCAAGGCATATTCTTGGCTAGCTCTTACATCTTAAATTAACCCATTTCTATAAATTTATGTATTGTTACGAGGCTGTGGCTTACCTGTAATATTCTGGTGTCTTTTTCCTCTGGCAGCTACATGGCATCTCTTTGATTCCTCCTCCTCTTTCTATACATCTCTGTTCAGATTTCCCACCTGGCTTTACTCTGCTAAGTCATTGGCCGAAACAGCTTTATTCATCAACCAATAAAAGCAACACATATACAGCAGGACATCACGCCGCTGTGCCTCTTGGAGACCAACTCAGGTTTTCTTGCTTATACCTCAGATGTTTTCCCAGTTGTCCTATCTCCCCAGCCCCAGATACTTAAAGTATCGTCTCTGATAGTTTTGGAAATTTTTGCTCCCATTGTGCTTCATGATCCTCACAGATGAAAATATTTGTGGCTTAGAGATGTTAGTTTACCCAGGATTACCCAGATAAGCCAAGGTGGAAGAATTTCTGTGAGTTCAAAGCCAATCTGGATGATGCAGTGAATGCCAGACTAGCCAGGGCTAGCTAGAAAAAGATGTCCTAAAAAAATCTCTTAAAAAGTGAATCACACAAAATCAAAAGTTGAAATGAAGATGTATTTAGGATGTTTTTGATAGATGAATACTTTTTTGTTGCTGTTGTTGATGATGTTTTAATAAGTATTAACTGGGGAATTGTAACATCACCATTGAGACCTATTCTTTATTTAATATAAGCCTTGTGGGTGCCAAACAGTGTAGATCAGTGGTTCTCAACCCTTCTAACACCGACCTGTTAGCATAGTTCCTCATGCTGTGGTGATCCCCAACCATAAAATTATTTTCGTTGCTAGGTCATAACTGTAATTTTACAACTGTTATGAATTGTAATGTAAATATCTGTGGTTTTTTTAGACGGTCTTAGGTGACCCTTATGAAAGAGTTGTTCGACTCCAAAGGAGTAGACACCCTTAGGTTGAGGACCACTGGTGTGCTTTCATTTCCCGGCCCTCAGACCCAAATAATTGCACGGAAACTTTATTAATTACAACACTATTTGCCAATGACCAAGGTTTGTTCGTTGGAGAGTGAACCTAGAGCATGTGGCCACTCTGGGAAATCCTGCTGGGTCGCAGGGGTCTAGCTAGAGGCTCAGCAAGCGATAAATCAACTCTTCATACTTTTGCCTTTAATATTAAATGCTCATTTAGTCCTGTTGGCCTGGTGGCATATTGGATCTTAGAGGAGGTGTGGAGCCCTCCTCTAACTCTGTACCCTTGACTCCCAGGTTCTACTGTGTTCTCATCCCTAACCCCACAGAGTTGTTTATTTTTTGGAGGGATGGGGAAGTGTTTTGTACCCCCACAGTGATGGAAGCCTCAAAAAGGTGGGGAATTGCTGCATAACTGAACTGCCTTCAGGGTTAAGCTAAAACATACTCAAAAGATGCAGTGATCCAGGGATGTTCAGAATAATGGCATTGTTGATTAGGAACCAGGACTCTGGGCACTTAAATTCGTGTGTGTGTGTGTGTGTGTGTGTGTGTGTGTGTGTGCACTTGTGCACACATGAAAGTCCGAGCAGTCTTAGTGTTTTTCCTCAGGTGCTGTACCACTATTTTGTAGACAAGGTTGTACACTGGCTTTGGAACTCACTGAGTATCCACATTAGGTTGGCTGGCCAGGGAGTCCCAGGGCTCCTCCTTTCCCCACCTCCCCAACACTGGGATTAGTGCTCACCCACTTCATGCTGACCTTGTTACTTTGCTAACCAGCACATGCTGGCATATGCTGTGTTCTGTGTGAGGGTGGTGGCCATCCTACTCAGCCTCCTCCACACCTTTGAGACTGCTTTTATTATTATTCCCATTTTACAGAAGGGAGACTAAGGCTCCCAGAAGCTGTCTAAGAGCTGCAAGTCCTGCTGGGAGCTAGTAGGCCTGGAATTTCACCCCACATCTGCCCTGTGTCATGACCTTCCCCAGAGTGGGACTGCTTCCTCTTCCCCTTGTGTCTTCTCTGTGTCTGTCTCAGGACCCCGGGGTGGAACGACCTCTCCCTTCCAGGAATGAGCTGGTGATGCCAACTTCCTCTAGGTACTGCCAGAACCATACTCACAGACCTGCCTGTTGCTCTTTTTCTTTCCTAGTGCGCTGGCCACCCTCCTGCTGCTTGGTTCTCAGCTTGTTTGCCCACAGTCCTCTACTGAACACAGAAAGGTAAGTCTTGGCCACTCGGAGCCATTGCGCTTCTCTGCCAGAGGGGGCGTGGTCGCCGTGGCGGCTTCCCTTATCCTTGCTCCAGCTGGAGGTTAGTCCCAGCGGATTCCGAGTAGAAGCCCTGTTTCTGGAATATTTGCAGATTTCTCATTTTTTCCATAAGTCGGATATGAAGCCCGTGCTCAGAGTCAGTCTCTGATCTGTGAGCAGAGCTGACTTTGCAGCCTGTATCACTAAGAGATGAGTGGGAAAGCCCTGCAAAGGCTCTCGGGCAGAGGCCCCGCTCAGGAGAGGGAGCCATGACAGAGCTGGTACCTGTGTAAGCACACCTGCAAGGCCATAGGCAGAGGAAGATCAGAAAAGAAACGTGTTGTGAGAGCAACCCCCGTGTCTGAGATATGGAGCTGTAGTCACTGATGGAGGGGCCCAGCCTATACTGCTTAGTGAGGGCTCTGGAGCGGAAGAACATGGTCTTTTGTCCTCCCATGGTGATTCCTGTTGATGCTTCCCTTTGATTAGTCTAGACCAGTGGTTCTCCACTTGGAGGTTGAACGACCCTTTCACAGGGATCAAATATTAGATATCCTGCATATCAGATATCTACGTTATGATTTGTAACTAGCAAAATTACTGTTATGAAGCAGCAGCAAAATAATTATATGGTTGGGGCTCACCACAACTTGATGAACTGTATTAAAGGGTTAAAGCATTAGGAAAGTTGAGAACCACTGGTCTAGAGAATTGACAAGAACCATGATTCGGTCCCCAGAGGCCAGCTTTCTAGGCCCACCGGACATGAAGAACTCTTTTCCCCTCATGTTCTACCCACCTCATGTAGAACTTTGACCTGGGGCTTTAGCCCGCGTGGTATTGCCTGCCCGAGGAGCAGGGGCTCTGTTAGTGTATCCTGAGAAGTAGACACGTGATGTTCGGCCAAAGTATCTCAAGTCCGGTTCTGCTCCCTGGGTCTTGAGAGGAGAGTACTGAAGTGGGCTTGAGCAGATCCGGTCCTTGGCTAGGAGAGGGTTTTCCCAGGAAGTTCTGAAGCAGAAATGGACCGAGAGGAACCCGTGCAAAGGGTTCATCTGCCCCCAAGCAGTGTTTGCTGTTCTCATCTGATCTATTTAATTTCTTTCTGATCCGGGGATTACATTCTGTTTATCCGAACCAGATAGAAGTCTCTGTAGCATCTTGTTTCCCACTGGCAAGACAGCTCCGTGAATGTGGTTCTCGCACATGGCTGTAACTCTGGGGTAGAGCCTGGCCTAGTTAGGTGCTCAACGTGGTACAGATGGAATGACTGGGACCTGACCAAGGTCCAAACATCGTATTGCCAGATTAATTTGGAAATTTATAGCCTCTCACTCTGTTGTCTCATCCCCAGTCATAATTTTAGTAAGTAGAATGCTATAAAATTTATTATTGTTCTCTCAGTTATTAATGGTTGGTATTCTTGGGACTAATGGTTGACTTGCTCTAATGGAGTCCTTTTTGTTCTTATTGATGCCAAAATATGCAACCACAGTTAAAATATTTTATAAATAATCCAATTGTTTTTTGCTGTTTCTCTTTGTCTTTCAAGATAACCTGAATTATATACTGAGCCTCAGGATAAAATGTTCTCAAATAAATGTTAACCTTCATTTTTCTTAAAAAAAATATTTTATTAAATTTCATTTAATGTGAGTTGAACTGAGTCGAACTGACATCAGAGAGTCTTCACCCAGCAACTGATTGAAACAGATGCTGAGACCCACAGCCAAACATTAGGCAGAACTTGGGGAAGGGGGAAGAAGGATTTTAGGAGCCAGAAGGGTCAAAGGCACCACAAGAAAACTCTCAGACCCACTATCCTGGACTCATAGGGGCTCACAGAGACCAAACAGATCACCAGGAAGCCAGCATGGGACTTACCTCGGCCCTCTTTGTATGTTACAACTGTGTAGCTTGGTATTCTTTTGAGACTCCCAACAGTGAGAGCAGGCACTGCCTCTGACTCAGTTGCCTGCTTTCAGGACCCTTTACTCCTACCAGATCGCCTCATCCAGTCTTAATAGAAGAGGAGATGCCTAGTCTCACTGTAACTGACTGATATCCATGGGAGGCCAGCCTGCCCTGTATCAAGAGAAACAGAGGAGAAAGAGTGGATGGGGAGGGGAGGGGAAGAGGGAAAGTGATGGGGGAGGAATTGGGAGGAGAAGAGGGAGGAGAAACTTTGGTTGGGATGTAAAACAAAAACAAAAAAAAATCATGTTGTGTGTGTATATGTGCACGTGAGGGCATGTTTGCATGTGTGCATATGCATGTGTGTGTTATACATGCCAAGGGGCACATGTGGAGATCAGAGGACAATTTATGAGAGTCAACTTTCTCCTTCCACTGTGTTGGTTCTGGGGATTGAACTCAGGTCATCAGCCTTGGTAGAAAAAACCTTTACCTGCTGAGCCATCTTGCCCACCCCCCTCATCTTTCTCAAAGGTTTTCTTTTTACTGATAATGGAAACAGAAAGGTTTATGAGGTGCTTTAGAATGTTGATTTTAGAACACTAAGCTAAACAGTATCATATCTTGGTATGTAGTACTTCCTTGTCAAAATATTATTAAGAGCTTTGCGATTGAAGGCTAGATTTAAACCCGCCTCCTGCCATTTATAGATTTCTTCACTCGGGGGAAAGACATTCTCAGAACAGTTGTTGCTCATAATAAACAGATGTGTCTTCTTGCCATGCGTCCAAGAAAAGAAGGCACTCGGGCTTCCTTGGGTGGTAGGTTGCTTTTCATTGTTTGGTTAGGGCCTTGTGCAACTGTGGCTGTTATCCTGGGGATCCCCAAAAACCTGGCAGGAAAAGCAGGGCTGGCCGTAGTAGCATCCGTCTACTTAGGCCTGCAAGAGGCAGACTAAGGAAATGCTTATTAACAGGGTCTGAAACGCTGTAAAGAGACGAGACTAAGGGAATGCTGGTTAACTGAGCCTGCAACACTATCTATAAGGAACCAAGACAAGGATGCTCATTAACGGGGCCTGCATCACTGTCCATAAAGAGTTGTGGAGAATAAGTTTTTCTGGACCATGCTTTCTGTCACAATCATTTAACTCTGGCTGGTCCGGAGACAGCCAGAGGCACTGTGTATATGAATAGTCATGGCTGTGTGCCAGTAAAGCCTTATTTACAGAAGTAGGTGGTGAGCTGGATTTGGCTGGTGGGCCGAAGTTTGCTAACCTCTGCTCCAAATTCAGGATGTAAAAGAAGGGACTAGGTCTCAGGATATAGTCCATTCAATGGGGTGTTTGAGTTCAATCCCTAGAAGCCATTTAAAATTCCTGAAGTGATGGCACACCTTTGTAATCCCACCATTGGGAGACCGGAGACAGGGGGATGCCTGAGGCTCACTGACCAGCCATCATAGTCCACTTGGTGAGTTCCAGATCAGCAAGAAAGCTTGTTTCAAAAAAGAAAAAGTGGTGGATGGTGACTGAGAACAACGCCTGAGGTTTTCCTCTTACCTGCACACACGACATACATGGGACACACATGTCCACATGAATACACAGGAACACACATATGTGTGCACATGCACACATGTATTTTGGAATCTGAAGGTGGAAATAGTTTCGTATTGGGACTTGAAAGAACAGAAGGGAACTGGGAGAAAAAAATCACATAGTTTTTGATTAAAATAAGATTTATAATTGCTATCCAGTTGCTTTCATTACATAAATACATTCATAGCTGACTTATTGTTTTGTGATAAAATTGCTACTCTTGATTGTTTGCAGTGAATAGCAGACGGAATTAGAAACCCATCTATGGTCAGTTCTGTAGGGACAGCATTATTAATTTGCATGTGTGATAGGGGAGTGTGTATATGGAAGCCGGCTACTCGAAGGCTCTCTTTTCTTCCTTCTTACTGTGCTGTGTCCAACTTTAGCATATGGAAGTGTTTCCATGATGTAAGTTATTCCAACCAAGAGACATAATTTGTAAATGCTGTCAAGTAAACTATGCACGCCTCAATGTGCTTGGGTGAGTGGCTACATCTCTTCAGAACTGTCCTATGTAATAGTAAAGGCTGGGGGGACCCAGTGCAGAGTGTAAGTAGCTCTTTCCAGATGTTTCTGTCCAGAAGGCCTCCTCTTCTGGCAGGATTAGCAACCCTACAGAGGACCACTCACCCGCTCACCCTCTAGTCTCGGAATTAATTGTTGATACTTGGCAGAGGGTGGTAGTATTTTTTTTTTCTTTAATTTTAAAAGCAGGGCCCAAGACAAACTCTCTATCTAGGAAAACTGTGAAATGTCATTTTATGTTAAATATATTGATTTGTGTATGCATGGGGGACAAGTATGCCTGTGTACTTACTTGTGTGTTACTCTTCATCCACATCATACTCATCCCTATCCTCATCCGCATCCTCCTCATCTACATCATCCCCATCCTCATCCACATCATCCTCATGCTCACCCTTATCCCCATCCTCATCCACATCATCCTCACCCTCATCCCCATCCTAGTCCACATCATCCTCATCCTCACCCTCATCCTCATCCTCACCCTCATCCTCATCCACATCATCGTCATCCTCATCCATATCATCCTCATCCACACCATCCTCATCCTCATCCCCATCCTCCTCCTCCTCATCATCTTTGAGACTTTGTTGCTGTTCTGGCTAAGTTGTCTGGCCACTGGCCCCAGGATCCTACTGTCTCTAACTCCCCATCAGCAGGTTACAAACATGTGCCACCATGCCCAGGTGCTGGGTACGAACTCGGGTCCACTTGCTTGTGTGACAAGCACTTTATAGAATGAGCCGTCTTCCAGCCCGAAGTACTGTATCTCTTAACTTTCAGATATGGAAATGTAATTAATTTTAATTGCTCTTGTTTCTTACGTGTATTTTTAAAGTTCACATTTCTCGTTTGCTGTAGAAAGTGATGATGACTGGAAGGAGGAAATAAAACTCACTGCTAGGGCTGCTGGCCAGGGGCCACACTGCAG